CAGCACGCTGCAAAGGAAATGTTTGCAGTCGAGGAGGTAATACCAGTACCAGCTCCTTCGATCTCAGAAAAGTCAAGCACCAAAGATAAGCAGACGACCAAATAGCAATCACCGCCCCCAGCCTCGACCGAGTCGGAGCAGCAGGTAACCGAAGAAGAAGAAGAGGATCTCCTTACTCCTCGAACTTTCGTTGTTCCCGAAGAGTCCGATGCAACCAAGTCCACGGTCGAGGAACTGGAACAGGTCATACTGATCGAATACATACCCAAGAGAAAGGTATACCTGGGTACGGGGTTAACCCCCGAACTCAGGAAAAAACTCATTCAATTCCTTATTGATAATATGGATTATTTTTCTTGGTCCCATTTAGACATGACAGGGATCCCACCGGAAATAACAACACACCGGATAAGCCTCGACCCCAGGTTCAAACCGGTAAAGTAAAAAAAGAGGCCCCAGTCCGAGGTGAAGCATGCATTAATAAAGGATGTGGTAACCAAACTTCTCAAAATAGGGTCTATTCGGGAGGTAAAATACCCCGAATGGTTAGCCAACATAGTTGTAGTTCCTAAAAAGGGAAACAAACTTAGAATGTACGTAGATTATAAGGATTTAAACAAAGCATGCCCTAAAGACTCTTTTCCATTGCCTAACATCGATAGCATGATCGATGCCACGGCCGGCCACGAGATTCTAACCTTTCTCGACGCCTACTCCGGGTACAATCAAATTTAGATGAACCCATAGGACCAGGAAAAAACCTCATTTATCACTAAGTTTGGAACATACTGCTACAATGTAATGCCCTTCAGGCTGAAAAATGCTGGAGCAACATACCAACGCTTAGTTAACAATGTTCGAGGAACAGATAGGTAAATCAATAGAGGTTTACATTGACGATATGTTGGTTAAGTCCCTGTGCGTAAAGGACCATTTAACTCACTTGCAGGAAACATTCAAAATCCTGAGGAAGTACAACATGAAGCTCAACCCAGAGAAATGTGCCTTCGAGGTGGGTTCGGGCAAGTTCCTCGGATTCATGGTATCAAATCGAGGGATCGAAATCGACCCCGACAAGATCAAGGCCATCTAGGATATCACTGTCGTAGATAGTGTGAAAGCCGTACAAAGGTTCATAGGACGAATAGCCGCTTTGGGTCGATTTATTTCGAGGTCATCGGATTGAAGCCATAGATTCTTTTCCTTACTAAAAAAGAAAAAGGATTTCGCATGGACCCCGGAATGCCAGCAAGCGTTGGACGATTTAAAGCGATATTTATCAAGCCCACCTCTACTTCACACTTCGAAGGTAGACGAAAAGCTTTACTTGTATTTGGCGGTGTCCGAGATAGCGGTAAGTGGGGTACTGGTCCGAGAAGAGCAAGGTACGCAATTCCCTATTTATTATGTAAGTCGAACTCTAGGTGATGCTGAAACTAGATATCCACACTTAGAAAAATTAGCACTTGCATTAATAAGTGCATCTAGAAAGTTAAAGCCATATTTTCAGTGCCATCCCATATGTGTGTTGACCACTTATCCCCTTCGAAATGTTTTGTACAAGCCCGAACTATCGGGCCGGTTGGCCAAATCGGCCATCGAACTTGGCGGGTACGATATCGAATATCAACCCCAAATGGCCATCAAGTCTCAAATCTTAGCTGACTTCGTGGCCGATTTTATGCCGACCCTCGTACCCAAAGTGGAGAAAGAACTTCTGCTAAAATCGGGTATATCATCGGGGGTATGGACCCTTTTCACGAACGGAGCCTCGAATGTGAAAGGGTCCGGGCTTGGCATTGTTTTGAAGCCACCAACAGGTAGTATTATTAGACAATCTATCAAAATTTCTAGGTTGACTAATAACAAGGCCGAGTATGAGGCCATGATTGCAGGTCTCGAGCTAGCTAAAAGCTTGGGGGCAGAAGTCATTGAAGCCAAGTGCGATTCTCTGTTGGTAGTGAACCAAGTAAACAAAAGTTTCGAAGTTCGAGAGGATAGGATGCAAAGATACTTGGATAAGCTAAAGGTAACCCTGCATCGCTTCAAGGAATGGACCCTAGATCATGTGCCTCGAGAGCAAAACAGTGAGGCAGATGCACTTGCCAACTTGGGGTCATCAGTAGAAGAAGATGATATTGTACCGGGGACTGTCGTCCAATTATCGAGATTTGTGGTCGAAGAGGGTCATGCGAGATAAATTCTACGAGTTTGACTTGGGATTGGAGGAATAAGTATATCGATTATTTGAAAAATGGAAAGCTCCCATCGGATCATAAAGAGTCAAGGGCTCTAAGAACCAAGGCTGCTAGGTTCACATTGGATGAAGATGGAACATTGTACAGGAGGACTTTCGATGGACCATTGGTAATATGTTTAGGGTCGGGGGATACCGATTATGTTCTACGAGAAATCCACGAAGGCACTTGTGGGAATCACTCCGGCGCCGAGTCTTTGATTCGTAAAATTATTAGAGCAGGGTATTACTGGGATAACATGAAAAAAGACACTATGGAGTTTGTTAAAAAGTGTGATAAATTTCAAAGGTTCGCTCCAATGATTCACCATCCCGGAGAGCAACTACACTCAGTCCTACCCCCGTGTCCTTTCATGAAATGGGGAATGGACATAGTCGGCCCTCTACCAACGGCCCCAGGTAAAGCTAAATTCATTTTGTTTATGACTGATTATTTTTCTAAATGGGTGGAAGCACAGGCCTTCGAGAAGGTCAGAGAAAAGGAAGTTATTGACTTCATCTGGGACCACATCATATGTCGGTTCGGGATACCTGCCGAGATTGTATGTGACAATGGAAAGCAATTTGTCGGCAACAAGGTAACGGAGTTCCTCGAAGCACACAAAATAAAGAGGATCTTATCAACACCTTACTACCCAACCGGGAACGGACAGGCCGAGTCAACAAACAAAACTATCATTCAAAACCTAAAGAAAAGGTTGGACGATGCAAAGGGAAAATGGAGAGAAGTTCTACCCGAGGTCCTTTGGGAATATCGAACGACATCGAAGTCCAGTACGGGGGCTACTCCGTTCTCTTTAGTATATGGCTCCGAGGCCTTAATCCCGATCGAGGTCGGAGAACCCAGCGCCAGGTTTCAATATGCATCGAAGGAGTCAAATCACGAGGCTATGAATACTAGCCTCGAGCTATTAGATGGAAAATGAGAAGCTGCACTTGTTCGGATGGCAGCGCAGAAACAAAGAATCGAGAGATATTATAATAGAAGGACTAACCTTCGACACTTCGAAATCGGGACTTAGTTCTACGGAAGGTCACCCTCAATACTCGAGACCCGAATGAAGGGAAACTGGGCATGAATTTGGAAGGACCGTACCGAGTCATCGGAGTTGTTGGTAAAGGATCTTACAAACTTGGCACGATGGGAGCGAACAACTGGCGAACAATTGGAATGTATCACTACTCAAACGATACTACTGCTAAGGTATGGCTTTCTCCTTTTGTCCATTTGAATTGAAAACTAACTCATTGCAGGTGTTCGATCGAAGACATCGAAGACACCTTTTTAACCGAAGACCTTAGGTTTTAAAGCAGGCGTTGCACTCTTTTTCCCTGAGATCGGATTTTGTCCCAAATGGGTTTTACCGGTGAGGTTTTAAACGAGGCAACAACTATGTTCTACCTAAGGAGAATTCAACAGTATCCAAGGCTTCTTTCCAATCAACCTCGAATACTGGAGGGCATCACCCTCGGAGATTATATTTTTGAGGAAAATACTTCACGCCAATGAGGGCCATGATAGGAAAACTTTGTAATGGGCCAAACGGTCAGATGAACCGTGTCCATGTAGAATAGTCGAGCCTCGACGGCAAAACATGTACGCATGTACTAATTATCCAAAGAAGCATTCTTTCTATATCAAAACACTTTGTGTCTCAAAGAAATTCGCTACTATAAGAACATCGTGCTTGTGATTTTGCGAGAAACGGCTCAAGGTCCAAAGCATGAATATACCTCGAATACTAGGGGATTGTCATCGACAGTCAACCTATTCGAGTCATCTAAACTCGAATTCATAAGACCTCAAAGAGGCACCCCTTCGACATAAAGGCCAAGGCTGTCATACTCGGGGACTAACCTTTCGAAAAAGTTCAAAAGGTTATTGGGAAATAAGTCCAAGAGGCATACCCGAAGGCTACGGCCACATTAAAGACTACGGTCATATGAAAAAGGCTACGGCGGAAATAATGCGGCTCGGAGACGTCCGACTTCCGCCATAAGTTAAAGGCCTTCAAATACTTTGAAAAACTGGTTAAATTAGGCTACCCTCGACAAAAGCAAATAAAAAAGGGCTTCGATAAAATCAGCCCTCGAATAACTTAAAGGCTTTGATAACATCAACCTTCGAAAAAAGCCTCAAGAGGCATTTCAATTATCGTAGTACAAACGGATTACAAATGAGGTTCTGATCGATCGAACCTTCAAAAAAAACCAACGGGTACAAAAAACACATACTAAGGCATAAAGAAATTTTCACTAAGTCTTTTAGCCGAAAAGAGGGAAAAACTATAGTCGCTTTAGAGGACGAATTAGCCCAACTTAAAGAGCCTAAGGGCCGACCTAAAAGATCCTAAGGGCCAATATGAAAGAGCCTAAGGGCCGAAGCATGTAGAGTTTGAGACCTTGCTCTCACTCAACTCAGACTCAAGAGTCCCGTCATCCCGAGCTCACATCAAATCAACTTAAGCATAGCTCGAGGATTAACAAAAGAGCCTAAGAGGTATCTATTATAAGTCCAGAGATCGCCCATTGATCACTAAAAAACCTAAGGATTTGTTCTATTCTAAGTCCGAGCCAGTGCACATTTGATCATTGAAGTCATAACATCAAAAAAAATCACAAAATGAAGACAAAGCAAAATTCAATACAAATCAAGGGAATTTGTTATATTTATGAAGGGTATTTACAATACCCACGAGGGCCTTACACAAAAGCAAAGGAATAAAAATAAAACCCTAAGAGCCTAATCTACTTTGGGAGCCGCATCCTCGGGAACCTCCTCCTTGGGGACTCCGTCCTCATCTCCCTCTCCCTCAGAGCCACTAACAAAATCTTCATCATCGGAAGAAACGAGGAACTTGGCATCGACCTCAAGTGCTTTTGCTTGGGCTATCTCATTGGTGAGGTCGAAACCTCGAGCGTGGATCTCTTCGACGGTCTCCCTCCGGGATTGACACTTGGCCAAATCACTGACCCGTTTCTCCCGGTCAGAGGCCTCCCTCAGCTTCGCTTGGACAAACTCGACATCCCTTAAGTATACGGCGATGGTTTTATCAGTCGTGGCCTTCGTCTTCTCAACTTCGGCCTTGGCCTCAGCAACCTCAGCCCCGGCTTCAGCGAGTTTTGCTTCAAGATCCTCGATCTTCTTGACCTGGGCCAGATTTTTCACTTTAGCACTTCGGAGCTGGGTCTCAGCCGAGGCCAGTTGGGCTAGAGCAGCCTCTTTATCAGCAGCAAGCCGATCCATATTCTCCTTCCATCGGTTGCAGTCGACTTTAACCCGATCGACCTCGCCCCGAAGCTGCCCAATCATCTCCAATTTTCGCTGTAGCTGAGACATTGAAGTGTTAGCCTCCACAGTAAGGTCGAGTAGGCCATACTCTTTCAAAATCACAGTTACCTACTTGTCTAGCTCGGCCTCGTTTTTATGAGCTTTGGCCAAATCTGCCTAGAGGTCCTTAAGCTCCTCCTCCTTTTGGCTACAGAGGAGCCTCAGGGCCTTCTCTTCATCCGAAGACTTCTTGAGCTCGGCCCTAAACTTGACAATAGCCTACACAAAAAATAATAAGGTATCAGTCAGGACAAGAGAGGAAAACCAGAAATTCTACAACAATGAAAGTATGTGCTTACCCGAGAGAAGAGACGATGAGCCTCTTCAAAGAGGGTAGATGCATCATTGAGGTCGGCGGCATCCTCGACCCCGGTGAAACAATCCTGAAAGGGATCTTCTTCGAGGACCTTGCTTGGATCAGGCGTTCGCAGAGCTCGAGCGTCCTTTATCGCCTCATCGAAATAAGATGGTAGAGAAGGGGAGTGACCTATTGTCATAGCCCCGAGCTCCTCACTCGGGGCGCTCTAATTAGTGTCCATATTTTCAACACTTGCCCCCCCCCCCCCGGTGTACTTGTTGAAGGCGGAGGAATAACCTCGACTTCAGGGGACTCGGGGGCTTTACCCGAGTCTTTCTTCGGAATTTCCTCACCACGAGACTAGGTCTCCGGCTCGGAGGGCTTGGCGACCTCGATCGGTTTCCTAGTCCAGGTCAATAACGCCGATTCTTTGCCCTCATCTTCTTCATCATCCAGAAACTGGTGGACCGAATCTACGTCCACGTGAATGAGTTTCTTCTTTAGCCTTCGAACATGGGCTTTCTTGTTTTGGGGATCTTCGGGCTTCGAAGCCCTTTTCCTCTTGTTATCTTTCCCCGATTTGGGAACCGGGGACTTGGTCTCTTTTCCAGGAGGGGCCGACCTCATCTCGGAAAAATCTTCGAGGCCTGCATAAATCAAGAATCGAGAATGAGGAAACCAATGACTTCGGTAAAGGAGGGAAGCGTCAAAAGGCTTACAAAGAAAGACTCACCATGATTTTTGGCTTCCCATTTGCCCCTCGATAAGTCACGCCATTTTCGCTCGTCATACGAGGAGGTCGCGGCTAACTTCCGGATCCAGTCCTCGAGGTCAAGGATCGCATGGGGCATCCACTCTTTGGCTGCAAAAAGGATATAAGCGTTACACAATGCATAAACAGAATGTAAGAAAGCATTGAGGGAAAGACTTCACTTATGCTCGGGATTCCATTTCTCCGGGAACGGTATTTTGTCCTCGGGGATGATGACCGAGGTCCTCACTAGAATGAACCGGCTCATCCAGCCTCAATCTTTGGCCTCATCATTCCTAGCAAAGAAGGCTTTGATCGGTAGGCGTTGGAGCTTGATCAGTCCTCGGAAAGTTGAGGCCGATATAATCGGATAAGGTGATTGAGGGTAAACTCCAGTCCACTGGCTTTGCTAGAGAAATAACGGAGTATGGTTACTAAGCGCCAAAAGGAGGGGTGAATCTGGCCGAGGGTGACTTGATATTTTTTGCATAAATCAATCACGACCGGATCAAGAGGACCCAACGTGAAGGGGTAAGTGTAAACACTTAGGAACCCCTCCACGTGGGTGGTGACATTCTCCTCGGGGGTCGGGATCTGTACCACGACCTTATCCCCCCAGCCACAATCCTTTCTCACAGCCTTGAGGTGTTTCTCCGTTATCGAACAGATATACCTCGATGCATGCTCACATCGACCGGGAACTGCAGGGGGGGTTTCTATGTCAAAATCTTTCTTTATGACGCAAGCGATGGGAATGATCTCGTGAAGGGTTGGCGCTTTATCACCGGCCGGACGGGAGGAAGAGGAAGAAGCCTTTTCTTTTTGGGGAACCGTTTTAGAAGTTTTTGCCATGATTTTAAGTTAAGAGAAGCAAAGGTTGCGGAGCTTGGCTTTTCGGGTGCTAAAGGGACGGTAGAAGCAGGTGATGAGAGAAAAAGACGAAGAGAAGAAGGGATCAGAGAGAGTACAAGGAAGAAGTAAAGTTTTTAATTCAAAAAAGGAGCCCCATATTTATAGGTAAGCGGCGACGGTTCAACAACGCTAGTGGACGACCATCACTAGAGAAGCATTTAATGTTTTGGGGAAGCGGACTGACGGGACGTTTCGGTCACTTCGAGCGCCTACATCACGAGAATGACGTCATTATTAGGGACTCCGGAAAGTCAAGGTTCAAATCGTTTCTTATCATTTTACTCTAAGAAACGCGGGGACTATCTATATACGGTAAAATCATGTGGCCCTAATTTGGCGGGCCCGAAGGCCCACCATGAGGAACAGAAGACTCGCGTCGAGGAATAGACTCACTATGGACCGAGTTCGAGCCCGTAGGCAGAACACGAAAATCGAAGATTTAAGTGCTCGAGGAACGTCGGGGACCGGTGTGATCAACCCCAAGATGATGCCGTTATAAGTTTGTAAAAGAATGAGCAAGATTCCTGCCACGTCCCCAAGATCATGGCGTAAATTTCGAAATAGATTTGTACGAATCCGTACTAGGCGGTTAGACAGCTGTCCCAAAAGGATTCTTTACTGAAAATAGAAATGTACCTTATTTAAGGTTCCCCCATTATATAAAGGGGACCCCAATCATTTGTAAGGATCATCAATCATTTGGCAAAGAATATACTCTCTTACTTTTTGGCTCATATTTCGTCAGAATCATCTCTTTATTTAATTGTTCTTGCTTTATTATTCTTAACCAACCTCGAGGCCACCTTAGCTCGGGGTCGAGACTGTCTCGCACGCTGGTTTGATTCTACTTATTTCCTTCATTTACATGCTAGTTTTCTTGGTTATTAATTAGTATTGAACTAAATCACATATCTTTAAAACCATAAATCAAATTTAATTGTTACTCGTATTTTCGAGGTAAACAACCATGTATATAGGTAACACACTCATTTAGATATGCAATAATGGATAATGCATAAAAATTTAGACAAATATTACAGTCGTATAATGATAAATCAAAATCCTTAAATCTACACACGCACATATATGAAAGAGGCAAATATTACACGAACGCAAGAATCACCTATTTCTCATACTACAACAGTTTATAAAATATCATTTGGAAATTCAATTTATGTAATTATTACACTCAACAATAAACTAACACAGCCCTTTCAAAAAAAACAATAATGTAGGCACTGATTTTTTTATTTTATTTTTTTGGAAAATTCCCAGGAAAACCTGCTGTTAGATCATGTTTTAATGATGCAAATAATATACATGTGCAGGAAATCAAGTTCAAGAAGTAAAGAACACTGCTAGAATGGTTCATGATGTACAAGGAAAGAAATCAATCAGCAAGTGATCAGCAAATCTGGATTGGTCTCGTAAATCTGGGCACAATCTAATCAACGAATCAATCAGCAATAACAATGATTGGCTGAGCTGGAAAAAATCAAATAAACAAAGGCACGAATCATGGGCAGAATCACGGAAAACTAAAGGATACGAGGAGATCTGGGAAGCGACCACATTTGGAAGATCCAACAATCAAGGAGAAATCAAGTGAAGCAATCCTCTGCTAAAGGAAAGCAATCAAGAGAAGCAACGGCTCATTCCTTATTCTTGGAAAGAATCAATTCTTTCCAAGGATCAAATCTCTTGGGTTGTCAAGCCTCTACCATCCATCAAAGTATTTATACACCCTTGTAAACCCTAGCTTAGACATACTTTGATCAAACCAAATCACTCTCTTTATTCTACTGCAAACAAGCATTGTAGTTCACTAAGATCTGTTGTGTAACAAGTCAGGGATAGAAAGAGAGCACACACTGGTGAGGCATTGTATAAAAAATGAGTGCTAGAGAAACTGAGCGATATACACCACATCTGTACTCGGAAGAAACTCATTTTTACTGAAGAGAACTCCCTTGCAACTCAAGGGGACTGGATTAGGATTCACATTGAATCCGAACCAGTATAAAAATCCCGGTGTTTTTAATTCCTGCAATTATTTTCTGCATTTTACTTTCCGTTACCATATCTGCTAAATTATCATATTCAGCCGACTACTCAAGTTATAAGTCAACTTATAAGCAATTAATTTGAAGTATTTACAATTCTAACCCCCCCCCCCCCCGCCTCTTGTACTTTCAATTGGTATCAGAGCTTGGCTCACATTTTACCTTTTGCTTAACAGCTTGTGAGAAAAGATCATGGCAAATCAAGTTATCATAGGAGCTCTCTTTCAGGAAGGAACCTCACAAGTTAGACCACCATACTTCAATGGACAACATTTCTCTCACTGGAAAGTACGAATGGAAATCTTTGCTAAAGCATACGATGTCAAAGTCTGGAGAGTCATTAAAAAGGGAAACTATCCCCTACCTGCTAGCACTCCACCACTTGCTGATCCTGATGATATAGATTCATACTCAAAGGAGCAACTGGAAG